GTCGGTTCGTTCTAGGAACATGAAGAGCCTCAAATTGATCATTCAGGCTCTTGATGAAGAAGTTTGACCATCTTGTAGGTGGGCCGCCACGCGGTCTTTTGACCTCCCGTGAAATCCAGTTGGTAACGGCTCTAGTCTAGCAGTAGTCTCCAAATCTCATTACGTGTCCAGTCCATCTGATTTTCGATGCCCTGGCAAACAAGACAGTGTCCCTGATTCTTGACCGTTGACGGAAGTTGGAGGAGGTCGGAGCTCTGGATGTCAGAACTCTGGATTCATTCTTATTAGAGTGAAACATGATACTCCAAGCATAGCTTTTTCAATTCCTCTTTGGGAGACCTGAATAGAGTTCTCATCCTGTTTGCTTAGGGCCCAGGACTCTGTGGCATATGTTAATGCAGGAAGAACAGTGAAATCAAAGAGATGTGCCCAAAGCCAGAGTTTCTTCGTCCTCTTAGCTATTTCTTCGACACTCTTGAAGGCGTTCCAAGCTGTTCTCTTCCTCCTGCGCAACTCAGGTGCCAGATCATTCATCATGTTGACTTCTCAACCTAGGTACACATAACTGTTTTTCTTTGAGTCTTACATTTTATTTGTAAGATGGAAATTTTATTTTTATTTGTAAGATGGAAATTAAAAATAGCTTTATATTAGAGCTGGTGTGAGGGTTATCAGTTTGCTGTTTTCAGTTCAGTGCTTGTAACACAATGAAAAGGATAGGCAGATGCAAAGAAAGGATAAGCAGGCACCTGCTGATACAGTAGATACAGTAGATAAGGACTCAGTTTCCCTCATGTGGTTCATTGTTCATTGTTCTACCCACATCTTAAGGTTTCTGGAGTCAGTCCCCTTTAGTGGCCGCCTCCTAACTTCTCATTTCTACAATAATTTTGAGATGATTTGAATCTTACATTATTTATTTACTTATTTTGTATTGTAGTCTAGATAATAGGGCTGGAGCGATAGCACAGCGGGTAGGGCGTTCGCCTTACAAGTGGCCAACATGGCCGACCCGAGTTTGATTCCTCCGCCCCTCTCAGAGAGCCCGGCAAGCTACCAAGAGTATTCGATATGCCAAACACAGTAACAACAAAGTCTCCAATGGAGACGTTACTGGGCCCGCTCGAGCAAATCGACGATCAACGGGAGGGCCTTTACCTTTACCTTTTACCTTAGTCTAGATAATAGGGCTAAAATAGCATTCAAGTTTCTGGCATTGATGTACTACACATCCCTACCACCATAAGAGCTCATAAGTGCTCATAAGCACCTCCACCCCACCATCATCCCCCATCCCTGTGTCCTCTCTGACCCAGTGTTCCCACCCTTCCAACCTTCCCACCATTATTTTTAAAATTAAAATTTCAGTGCACACAGTTACCTTCTTTAGCACTGTAAGATGACATTGCTCTGTCCTTTCTCCCTTGCCACAAGGAGCTTAGGTTTACAGGGTTACACCCATCACAGTGCTCCAAAGTCACTCCCATTCCTTTGTTTGTTTATCTGTAACCACTTCTCTATGCTCTCTTCCCCAACCAGTTAATCAGTTTTTTCCCCTAATCAGACCCTGTTAATTTGTAAGGTCAGATCCTTCTAGGACACTGAATTTGTACTGTAAGTTAATATTGCCTTTCTCCTCTCCTTATGTCTTTTGAATAGTTTACTTTAAAGCAATGTCCTTTTTGTGTAGATACAGGAAGACAGTTAATATTATGCTTTCTAACTTAGGATTTAATTGGCTTTGAATATTATCCACTCCCGGGCATCTGCTTTCTCAACTTAAGCCTTAGTTGCCCTTGGTTCCTAACACCCCAAAAGCAGGGTCCTGACGAGGGATTGAATGGACCCAGGGCAAGCAGTGAGCTACCCTGGCATCGAAATTGGCCAGACCAAAGTGAAACGATTCTTAACTATAAGAGCTTGATCATAGACAAATGCTGTCATGATCCCAAAGTAATGATGAAACTAGGACCCTGCTAGGGATAGGAAAGGCTATCTGGCCTGAGCACTGTAGTCTGAGATCGAGATGGCCCTAGGAGAGCAATTCAATATGCTTAAGGTATTTCTTACTGTATCCATACAAAATGATTTATATTATGTATACTTATATGTTTGTTGGACAAGGAGAGGAGAAACCCAGGGGATTCCGCTCTGGGGGGGGAAGGGGGTCAACCTGATAATGAGAATCTGTCCTAGAAGTGGCTTTCCCCGAGGGAAAGAAGTCTACCCCAATTGATTATGACCACACCTATGTGTAATTGTTACCCCAACCCCTCATGGTTTTGGGATTTAACTAGACTTTAAGAGTGAGCTGAGGGACCCAGATCCAGACTCCAGAAGGAGGCGAAAAGGGAATAAGAATCCAGGCTCCAGAAAGATGAGAAAGGGGATCCAGATTCCAGAGACAGAACAGAAGGAGGATGAAGGGGGATCGAGAAGGAAAATGAAGTAGCATGGGGAGGAAGAAGCAGGAGGAGAATCAGAGGAGAATGAAGATGGGAATGGAATAAACTGCAACAAAGACCAACCAGCCTGGCCCTCGTTTCCTTCCTTTGCCTGCCCATCACCATCGACCTCCCCAGGGTGGGGGAAACGGCTTGAGACTACTGAATGCAGGTGGCAGGAGAGATAGACCGCTGCTACCCTCTTTTTGAGTTTACACATCTGGGTGCTGTCTTTTTGAGTTTATATAAGCACCACTCAAGTGAATTTTTGAGTATATTGAAGATGATTAAAGACATGTCCAGCTAAGAGCAAATTTGGGATCTTTAGAAGTATTATGCTTTCTGGTCTTTGCTATTTTTTTTTTAATTCTACCTACATGAACAAGTGTGCCAGAGAATTACTTTGACACTTTTGAGATTTCTTTTTTCCAGGAGAGTTTTTTTTTCCTTTTAAATTCCTAGGTTGAATCAAATGACTCACTGCAATGCTCTTTAAATACCGTTGGTATTTTCCAATTTATATCGAAAGAATCTATCATCCCCTAAGACGTAAAGATAGTAAAAAAAAATCAGATACACACATATCAGGAAATTTAGTTTTGTATCTGGTACTCAGTCAGCATTACAAGTTGTTAGATTAAATCATTGGCTGGTTATTCATTTAGCAGACACGTAAATGAGGTTTGTGATATAAGATATTTTTGCATATGCAAAGAACATTTTAAATATATAGTTTTAAGGAAACTCAAGTCTTTAATAAAATACAATTAAAATTTACTTATATAAATTATTCATGTTATATAGCGAATCTTGTCCAAGGCATCAGAAGCATTACTGATCAACTCCCGAAGAAAGATTTCCTTGTTGGAATAAAAGGTATTGATGATGAGAGACATCAACTGGGCAATTTCTGCCTGGAGCGATAGCACAACAGGTAGGGCGTTTGCCTTACAAGCGGCCAACATGGTCGACCCGAGTTCGATTCCTCCGCCCCTCTCGGAGAGCCCGGCAAGCTACCGAGAGTATTCGATATGCCAAACACAGTAACAACAAAGTCTCCAATGGAGACGTTACTGGGCCCGCTCGAGCAAATCGACGATCAACGGGAGGGCCTTTACCTTTACCTTTACCATGTTATATAATATAATAATATAATCATGTTATCTGGCAAAACACAGCAATGATCATGAAGTAAAAGTCTTAGAGGCTGTCATTTATACCATATTATTTCCTGGATTAGTCACATTTATAAAGGTACTAGTTCATCAGATTCAATAGAAGAAAAATATTTATAATATAACTTTCTCTCATTTGTCAATGGATTCCAAATAACTAGAGGAGCAAGGAAAGGAAAGGCCCTCCCGTTGATCATCGATTTGCTCGAGCAGACCCAGTAACGTCTTCATTGGAGACTTTGTTGTTACTGTGTTTGGCATATCGAATACGTCACGGGGAGCTTGCCAGGCTCTGCCGTGTGGGCGAGATACTCTCGGTAGCTTGCCGGGCTCTCCGAGAGGGGCGGAGGAATCGAACTCTGGTCGGCCGTGTTGGCTGCGTGCAAGGCAAACGCCCTACCGCTGTGCTCTCACTCCAACCCCCAAATAACTATGTGTCACAATTTTCTGAAGCAGTTAAAAAGTTTTTTCATTTGTTAACATTCAGCTTCTAAGCTTCCCTTTTAAGATCATATATTGTAAAAGTTGCCAATTAATCCATAAAGAATTTTCCACTGAAAGCTTTCAATCTTATGAACAACTATTTCAAGCTATATTGTAATATTAGTAAGTCTCACTTCAAAGTATATAGTAAAATCAAGAAAATAAATTACATTAAAGGCTAGAGCAAAATTCCAAGTCATGAGTTCAAAAATTGGTTCTCATATCAAAAGACAAACCTTATCTTTTTATGTAAATCATTGTTGTTTAGAAAATAATATTGAGGCCAGAGAGATAGTTCAGTGACTAGGGCTCTTGCCTTGCATACAGCCCAATGGGGTTCCACACCAAGTCCCCTGAGCCCTGTTAGGGGTGACCCCCGCGAGTGCAATAAAGCTCTGAGCACTGTCGGGTGTGATCCCAACCATGCTCCCCAAAGTAATATTGAAGTAGTCATAATATGTAAGATGATTTTTCGTATTCATAATGTGTCTTCCTTTTGTTTGGAGCTTACCAGGGGCATGGTAATGTAATTTTTGGGGGTGGGCAATGAAGGCAAAAAAAAAAAATGTTTAAGCCTTCCATAAAACTTTATTTTAATGACAGCAACAACAGCAACAGCACTAAGAAATCTTATCACAAGATAGTAGAACCCAGATGAGAATCGGTTGTAATTAGCCTTGACTAGTCTGACAGATTTCTTTCTTTCTAAGGGAAATCGTGCAGAGCATTTTATTTTAAGCCTCAGGATTTTGATCATCGGGAAAAAAAGAAAACTGCAGTTTTCGCCACAAAAAGACAGGTGGCGTCAGCATGCAACGTTGAAAAAAAAAAAAAAAACCACATAAAGTGATTATTTTCTCTTCGGTTCTTTGAAAAAGCTCTCTGGTGCTGGGGTTTGTGGTGGAGCTGGGTGACGTCAGTCTGGCACTGCGGAGTCAGGAGCGGCGGCTCCCTATAAGCCCGGCGCTGTCCGAGTGCTGAACGGCCGGCCCGGGCATCTCGTCCAGCACACTGGGAGCATGCTGTGGACCTTCTCCGCCATATAGGAAAAGAGGTAAGGCTGCTTTTCCTTGCGATTTAAAGAAAAGTTTGCCATGGCATGCCTTTCTTTTAGTTCCTATCTGAGAAGAAAAGGACCGTTCGGGGAGCTCGCATTTATTATCACGAAATAACAACCTGATGCTCATCAACCTACATATGGATCTAGATATATAGATAGACAGAATTGAGTCGATGATTTGATATTACTTGCAGTTGGCTCTCTATTAGCCATCATGCTACTTTGATAATAATATGCAAGAGGCATGAAAAAGTTAAAGATTTTACACACATTCATGTAAAGTTAACCACGCCTGATATTCGTTTCCTCTACGTGATTTATTGTTTCTTCCCTTGAGAACAGGATTCAAAGTCAGGCTATAATTTATATGCTTAATATTCTTAATAGCAGGTTTTCAATGATTCAAGGGTTATTAAACTCCATTAGTCATTGAGGCAACCAATTTTGGAACTATTTTTTTTCCCCTTTGACATCTACCTTGCAAGAGCTCCAAATTAAGTAATTATATAAAATTTGATTTCCTTAATTTGTATACTCTGAAAGGTCTTATGTTATGATTTTCTAATTTTAGTGCCACAAAAGTAATATTAGAATTATGCAAAGCCTGAGCGTTTTCCTTTATTCAAGATGAAATATTATCTTGTGTTGTAGGTTCGATCTGATTATGATTATAGAGAGATGATGATATTGTATACATGCAAAATCATGCAAGGTATTTTATTGCTACTATAAGGTTTTGATGGAGAGATTTGTACGTTTTGTTGAAGCTTTTGATTAAGACCATATTTCTCTTTTTCTTACATCCGAATTAGTTGTACTGCTCATATTAATATATCTACCTGTATTTTCATTGTGCAAATCTAAATTCATTGAAAGGGTATTTTCAATGAATTAATTTAATTTCATTAGAAAGGGTGTTTTAACTCAGGGGACTTTTATTTGATCCCACAGAGTGAAAAAGAGCTATTGAAATCATCTTTACTACTTACAGAGCTTGCTTCCTGGGACCGAAGTCCTTTGAATTTTACCAAAGGCAAAGACTGTGCCATTCAAACTGATCCCAAATAAATGACAAAAATATAACACTTATTAGGCCGTGATTTGAACAATTGCGATGTGTCTTCTGCTTTACTTCATGTAAGACCACCTGTCTACAAAATAATTATTTTTAATATGAATAGCATCCATATGTTAAGACTGCTTCAAGAAGATGGTTTCAAAGAAAATAAGTTTACTAGGTTTTTTTTAAATTGCTATTTACAATGCTAATGTTGAAAATTTATTAATAATCTTGAAATAGTATAAGGAATTTATAATGTACTGTTTTTAGATCTAAAATTCATGAATGAACTTTCTTAATGCAAATATTATCTTATAATAAATATTTTAGGAGTATTTTATGACGTTACTTAGAGGTTTTACTTATAGTAAATCAAGTAGTTTGGTTGTTCAGAATCATTTAGAATAATATATCCATCTCTGTTAAAGAAGTTTCTGCCAATTTTAGAATCTAAAATTGAAAAATAGTTATAAGCATGATCTAATTAGCAATCACAGTCTAGTAATTGGTATAATAAATGAAAGAAAATTGTATCCACATAACTAACCAAAGCACGATTCAGAGAATATATTATGAATGAACTTAGAAACTTCTTTTATATTTGTTTTATTTGCAATGCAAACTGTAATAATTGACATAGTTTTTGAGTAGCAGCAATGTCAAATGTAAAACATATTAAAATGCATACTCTTGGTAATTTCACATTTGAGATTAAAAGGCATTGGAGAAAAAAAATGAATGAAGATTTTTAAGTAGGAAGAATTCAACACATCGTCTGTTTCACTAAATTGGGAGTTACATAGTGGTTATTTTTAAGAGTTTCTAACAGTATGAGTCATTTAAGATTTCACAGGTCCATACCAAAATAGATACAGGCATAAGTCAAGCTGAATTTGAACACTCACAAATTCAGAAATAGTCTGGTTAAGAAAACTTATGTTCTCTCTGTAGCATCTGTTATTATTTACTACACACCCTTGAAGGCTGATAAAAAAAAATATAACCATGACTGCAGTTTTTAAGGCAATTATAATAAAATTGTTTGAAGAAATAATGGGGCATAGAGTTTTAAAAATCAGTATATTAATATATTTACGCAGAAAGTAACTTCATTGGTTTACCCTAAATGGGAGTTGAGAATATCAATGTTTTGGAGGTTATTAAATATCTACACCTGCTAAAATGGAAAGACTTGGTGTTTTAATGAGAATAAACTATTCTGAAAAATACTTGCGAACAGGGTTCATTCACAAGCAATTCAGTTTGATTGATATTAATATGTTGTATCACTTAATTATGTATATGAACGTAACTGTCATTGTTTCTACAACAAAATTGATAGACAGTTCAGGAAATAGACCGTATGTATTTTGACGAACTTAAGGAAATAATTTAGCAATCATGGGTGTATGTATATGTACATGTTGTGTGTGGGGATGTGTGTGAAAATCATAGGAATGCTTTGAATGACACTGAAACTCATCTTGGAAAGTCTTTTTAAGCAGGAAAAACACACATATGCAAAAAAAAGAACTCATGATTTGTAAATTGAAAAACAAAATTAGAAAAATCTCATCGCAGTGTTTTGTTTTTGTTACTGTTTTAATCAAGAGAATTCTATGCAAATGTGATGCAAACAAATAATGATTTTGCTAAAGATTCCTGTGGTTAGCTTGTGAGGACTGTACATAAAACATGTTTATGAATTTTAAAAAAATTACTCTAAGGTTTTTGTGAAATAGTTTGCTATCTTTGTCTTGCAATGGACAGTTACTTAATTTGCTATAGTGTCCTTTAGCCTGTTTCATTTGTCTTAATTTACTTTTTTTTTAATGCTTTCAGGAAATCTTTCAAACATGGCAGAAGCCAAGATTCACCAGCTTGGAGCAACCGTGTCTCTCATCTCTTTAATTATCCTCATCTATGGAGCGGAAGCAGCTTCATTTCAGAGAAACCAGCTGCTTCAGAAGGAACCAGACCTGAAATTGGAAAATGTTCCACGGTCTCCCAATCCTGAGATGATCAGGGCTTTGGAGTACATAGAAAAGCTCCGGCAACAAGCTCACAAAGAAGAGAGCAGCCCAGACTACAATCCTTACCCAGGTGTCTTAGCATCCCTCCTGCGCAAAGAAAATGGTGATGAAAGTCACGTGGCAGAAAGTCCACGGGATTCCCTAACTGAAGATGAATGGATGAGGATAATACTTGAAGCTTTGAGACAGGCTGAAAATGACCCTCTGTCTGCACCCAAAGAAAACAAGCTCTATGCCTTGAATTCAGAGAAGAATTTTCCAGTGGATGTGACTGATGACTATGACACTCAACAGTGGCCAGAGAGGAAGCTCAAGTACACCAGTTTCCTTCCGATGTACGAAGAGGATTCCAGAGACAACCCCTTTAAGCGCACCAATGAAATCGTGGAGGAACAGTACACGCCTCAAAGTCTTGCTACACTGGAATCTGTCTTCCAAGAGCTGGGGAAAATGACCAGTCCCAACAACCGGAAGCGTGAGAGGGTCGATGAGGATCAGAAACTTTACACTGATGATGAAGATGATATGTACAAGGCTAATAACATTGCCTATGAAGACGTGGTGGGGGGTGAAGATTGGAACCCAGCAGAAGAGAAAATAGAGAGTCAAACTCAAGAAGAGGTGAGAGACAACAAAGAGAACAAGGAAAAAAGTGAGCCAATCAATGATGAAATGAAGCGCTCAGGGCAACTGAGTCTGCAGGATGAAGACTTCCAGAAGGAGAATCCAGAGCAACTGTCCGAAGATGTCTCCAAAGTAATCACCTACCTGAAAAGGTTAGTGAATGCTGCTGGGACTGGGAAATCACAAAATGGGCAGACAGGGGAAAGGGCCACCAGGTTTTTAGAGAAACCACTTGATTCTCAGTCCATTTATCAGCTGATTGAAATTTCAAGGAATTTGCAGATCCCTCCTGAAGATTTAATTGACATGCTCAAAAATGGGGAGAAGCCGGGTGGTTCAGTGGAACCAGAGCAGGAGTTTGAACTTCCTGCAGACCTGGATGACATGTCTGAGTTTGACCTGGACCGCCCTGACATGTTCCAAAATAAGATGCTTTCCAGAAATGGCTCCCCCCAAACACCTGGTCGTGTGATGGCAGAGGCCCTACCAGATGGGCTCAGTGTAGAGGACGTTTTAAATCTTTTAGGGATGGAGGGTGCAGGAAATCCAAAGCCTCCCTATTTCCCCAACCGAGAGAAAGCTCTGCCAAGACTTCCCTATGTTCCTGGAAGATCTAGAGCCAACCAGCTTCCCAAAGCTGCCTGGATGCCAGATGTGGAAAACAGCCAAATGGCATATGACAAGCTGAATGACAAGGATCAAGATCTGGGTGAGTACCTGGCCAGGATGCTAGTTAAATACCCGGAGATCCTGAATTCGAACCAGATGAAGCGAGTTCCTAACCTGGGCTCCTCGGAAGATGACCTCCAGGAAGAAGAGCAAATTGATCAGGCCACCAAAGAGCAGGGGAATCAAGGCAGTTCTCCAGAGACTGACAAGCTGGCCTCAGTAAGCAAGAGGCTCCCCGCGGGGCCCCCGAAGAGTGATGATAGCACAAACAAGCAGTACTTGGATGAAGATCTGTTGATGAAAGTGCTGGAATACCTCAACCAAGAAAAGGCAGAGAAGGGAAGGGAGCATGTTGCAAAGAGAGCAATGGAAAACATGTAAGCAGCCTTCATTCATTGCCTCCTTCACTCTTCCTCCCCAAGCGAACCCCCACTATTTCTCCTTAGTGTGTTGACTTCTATCCTGTTAGCACTGTAATATCTTTAAGTGACGTGCAGATGAGCACTTCCATTTCACTGGGGTGTCTGCTCCACTTCCTCTGAGCTGTTCTCTTGTGTATGGATATGTGTAAATGTTATGACTACTGGATAAAAAAATTTAATCATACCCTCTACTCAAGAAAGATATCCATGATAGTGCATCTAATGGTTGTGGCATTGTTGATGCTAACAAATGATAAAGTGTTCTATAATTCTCTTGAAAGTTTTTAATATTTATTGAATTATTTTGTTACCCTCTGTAGTGTTTTGTGGAGTTCTGGAGCAAAATAATAAAGCATTATAAATATATAGTTTTATTTATAAGGCCTTTTCCATTGTGTGTTTTATGGTTGATTAATAAATGTTATTTCTGGACAACTAATGGACTCCTTATTCTGGGAAAAATAAAGACAATAATAGTTATGGAGCAAACAGAATGGAGCCAAAGGAGCAAACGATTGCCTTCCTCAGCCAGTCCAGGTAAGAATGAGTTTGAAGGATACATTTGCATACAAGTACATATTGTATACTGTGTACTTGTAGAATGCAATGTACTCTAACAGCAAACCAGGTAATGTTACCCTATTCATGCTCATCTAAATGATTTAAGGGATAAACATCTTAGTGCCATGTTTATACATTTACTCTGGATTCATACAAATAAGAACATTTAGATCTTCCAAACCAATAGTAAACATGGGAAATGGAAGGAACTTTATACAGTGCAGTTAGAAATAATTACAGACATGGATGCAAGCAATCTACCTATTTCCACATCATCCTGGTCCCTATTAGAGGAAACTTCTTTGCTGCATCACATGAGAGATATCAAGGACCACCCAAACCTTTAAGTAAGTGAAAGGGCATTGCTTTAAGGCTAGAGAAAAACACAGGCACATAGGCTGAACCGTGTTCAGTAATAGTTATAGTGTATCTTCCACCAGGGGTGAATGATACCAACTTCCGAACATATCAAGAAAGAATCATCTCTGATAGCAAGGGAACATACAAAAGCAGCAATATAATTATGATTATAAGAAAGCAAGGACCCAATTAAGTTTTTAACCAAGTCTTATTGCATAGCAGGCATTGAACTACATAGTTCTCACACTGTACCTGATTGAGTCTTTGTTATTACATGGTTGAGGAGTTCTCAGTCTCCCCTTTACATCTGCAAAAGTGAAAATCAGAAAGGTTAATCAACATTCTCAAAGTTGCCCAGCAGTGAGTGTTGCCCAAACCTGTGATAAATCACTGCTCCTCTCCACTGTCTGCTGAGGACATGTCCTTCCAGTTGAGGGAAGGGACATTGGACCCGGGAGGGCAAGGAATCATGAGGTCTCAGTGTGGGTCACTTTCAAGGCAGGACACAGGTATGTATTTGTGTCTTCAGGGGAGAAGTGGAAATTGTTGCATGATCAAATGTCAATAAGAAAGCCAGAATACTGAGATAAAAGTACTGAACATAAATTCCTTTACTTTATATTTTTTTCCCAGACTCTTTTCTAATTATCATGCAGTTTCATGGAATTCTAGAATCTGTAAGTGAAATCAACCTTAGGGGCAAATTATCTTTCCAGTGTTCCTAATGAATGAGTAGTCAAATATTCTCACGATAGAGAGTTCCTACCCTACAAGGCAGTAGGAAGACTTGAAGATTGTGGAGAGTTACAGGACATGAATGTGGCTTAAAATACAGACATACTATTACACGCCATGATTTGTAGATTCCACATATACATCCTGCCTGTTCAGTAATCTCTTCAATTTTCTCTTGTGTGTAGTAAAAAGTCCCTCCCAGGCTCCTAAAACTATTTCCTGTGACTGTTTTCATATTAGCCCTAAGCGGGAATGAGGAATTTGCTCTCACGGTGATGTCTGAGCATTCGATGGAAGGATTAAAAGATGAGCAAATTAACTAACATGACACAGCCGATGAGGCTTCAGACTGGGATTTATCCACACACCAGCGTGATGCCAAACCCTGGCCTCAGTTGGCTGCCATGTGAAGCTGCTTTCTGAAGGTCTCAGATGTGAAATTCCATGATTCTATAATGATGACATTTTTAGGCATCAAGACTGGCAGTAGGGGAGATGTTTTAATTCGGGGCATTTATCCTCTCTCTGACATCTCTCAGAGAGCAGTCAGCAAGCCTTTTTGCTTTCTGCAGTATCACCGGTTATTGAGTCATCAGGCTTATTTATTTCTGATCCAGAGATTTTTTTTCCTCCTAAGTGCTTTAGTACATTGCTCACTTGCATAAGAAATAAAGCTCTAAGTACCAGTCTACCAGTCGAGAATGTGGATGACACATTAGCTGAGGTTAGGGCAAATCTGCCTCTTTCCCTGCTCAGAAACCTTCCTGCAAAATTCAGGATTTCCGGGTCCTCCAAGTAGTGGCCAGGAGAAAGAAGCTGGCTGTGCCTTAGCCTGCATCTCTAAGTGAGAGTTGATGCTTCCAGGGGTGAGAGTGGTGCCTCCTCTTTCCTATGTCTCCACCCACCAGCCCTTCCCTCACTTTCACACCTCCTGCCTCTTCCCACTAATAGAGAAGACATTTAGGCTTAAACAGAGCCTTCACAACAAAACTCTCAGTTCTTCCCTCATTCTCCATGCTCAAATTCCTTAAACTCTGTGCAATACTCTCCTCTCCCCTCCCCTCCCCTCCCTCCCTTCTTCCCTCTCTCCTTCTTCCCCTCTTTCCCTCCCTCCCTCCTTCCCTTCCTCCATTCCTCTCCCTTTCTCCCTGTCTCCCTCCCTTCCTTCCTCCCTCCCACTCCCTCCCCTCCCTCCCCCTCCTTCCCTTCCCCACGCTCCTCCTTCCCTCTCTTCCTTCCTTCCTCTCTTCCTCCCTCCCTCCTTCCTTTCCTTCCTTCCTTCCATCCTCCCTCCCTCCCTCCCTCCCTCCCTCCCTCCCTTCCTTCCTTCCTTCCTTCCTTCCTTCCCCACCTTCCTCCTTCCCCTCCCTCCTTCCCTCTCTTCCTTCCTCTCATCCTTCCTTCCTTCTTCCCTCCCTTCCCCACCTTCCTCCTCCCCCTCCCTCCTTCCCTCTCTTCCTTCCTCTCATCCTTCCTTCCTTCTTCCCTCCCTTCCCCACCTTCCTCCTCCCCCTCCCTCCTTCCCTCCCTTCCTTCCTTCCTTCCTTCCTTCCTTCCTTCCTTCCTTCTTTCCTTCCTTCCATCCTCCTTCCCTCCCTCCCTCCCTCCCTCCCTCCCTCCCTTCCTTCCTTCCTTCCTTCCTTCCTTCCTTCCTTCCTTCCTTCTTTCCTTCCTTCCATCCTCCTTCCCTCCCTCCCTCCCTCCCTCCCTCCCTCCCTTCCTTCCTTCCTTCCTTCCTTCCTTCCTTCCTTCCTTCCTTCCTTCCTTCCTTCCTTCCCCACCTTCCTCCTCCCCCTCCCTCCTTCCCTCTCTTCCTTCCTCTCATCCTTCCTTCCTTCCTCCCTCCCTTCCCCACCTTCCTCCTCCCCCTCCCTCCTTCCCTCTCTTCCTTCCTTCCTTCCTTCCTTCCTTCCTTCCTTCCTTCCTTCCTTCCTTCCTTCCTTCCTCCCCCCTTCCTCCCTTCCTTCCTCCTCTGCCCTCCTCTCTCCTCCTCTCCCCTCCCTCCCTCCCTCCCTCCCTCTCTCCCTCCTTCCCTCCCTCCCTCTCTCCCTCCTTTCCTACCTCTGTTCCTCCCTCCCTCCCTCCCTCCCTTCTTCCTTCCTTCCTTCCTTCCTTTCTTTCTTTCTTTCTTTCTTTCTTTCTTTCTTTCTTTCTTTCTTTCTTTCTTTCTTTCCCTCCCTCCCTCCCTCCCTCCCTCCCTCCCTCCCTCCCTCCCTCCCTCCCTCCCTCCCTTTCTTCTTTCTTTCTTTCCTTTCTTCTTTTTTCTTCTTTCTGAATCACCATGAGATATATAGTCACAGAGTCACAGTGTTGTTTATGATTGGATTTCAGTCATATAATGTTCCAACACCTGTTCCTTCACCAGTGTACATATTTCAGCCCAATGTCCCCAGTTTCCCTCCTGCTCCACTTCTCTGCCACCCTCTATGGAAGGTATTTTTCTTCTCTCTCTCCCTCCCTCCCTCCCTCCCTCCCTCCCTCCCTCCCTCCCTCCCTCCCTCTTTTGGTTTGTGCAATAGCTTTTTGAATCCCGATTCTTCTTCCTTCCCATAGTTCATAACACTTTTCCTGAGCCCATTGACTCTCAAGGTCAGTCATTAGCAAAAATCCCTGCAACCTTAACCTCTCTGGTGAATAATTTTTATGATGATTTTCTGAAGTTGCTGTTTCTTCTGAAACTCTCTGCCTTGCTCGTTTATTTTTCTATTTACAGTATAGTTTTTTCTTCTCCATAGAAACATCCAGCCTTGAGTCTCATGCCATCATGTATGACCCATTGCCTGCCCCTTTCTGTTTAGTCATCTGATGCCCTCACCCATTAAAGGTAGCACTTCCTGTTCATTATCACCCTGTTTATCACTGCTCCTGTCTCACTTATTATTGATTTAATATCCATACAAATGATCTTTCTAACACTTTTCAGGCTTTTTCTCCTTCCATTCCCTCCAACTTTCCCTCTGTTTATGCCTTTCATATTTTCTTTTACACATGTTCTAAATCTAAGTACCAAGCAGCTCACTCTAACAACTAACTTTTCTATTTCCCATGTACTTTGCCCAGTACCCCAATTTCAAGGGTCTTCCTTCCTCACCAAAAAAGGATCCACAGATCCTACTTTCTTTCTGCTCTCGTCCCCATTTTTACCACCCACCTTGTCACACTGCAGCCTTGTGATTCATCTTTATAATTTCTCCTTTGTAAATACGTTGAACTCCTTTTGTCTCTTGAGTTTTATTGTGATCTCATCACTCAGCAAGAATTCTAGTCAAGTCCAATTCTCTTCTTTTCATCCTTTTCTAAATTTTTTCCTATAAGTGAACTGAATAGAAACAAGACATATAACTATACTAATTAATTTAATTTAAAAATCATTAACCTCAAATGCCCCGATAGGCTGTCCTGGAATCCCAAAGTATGCCAAATTCATTCAGGCTCTCTCCTTCGAAAATAATTCCATATATTTTTCCGTATGCACAACTTTCTAACGCTACCTCCTGATTCATTTATTTTATTTTATTTTATTATTTCCCAGTAATATAATACTGTAACACGGTCCTCCCATTGCTCATCGATTTGCTCAAGCGGGCCCAGTAACGTCTCCATTGTGAGTCTTGTTGTTACTGTGTTTGGCATATTGAATACATCACAGGTAGCTTGCCAGGCTTTGCTGTGGGGGCGAAATACTCTCGGTAGCTTGCCGGGCTCTCTGAGAGGGGCAGAGGAATTGAATCCGGCTTGGCTGGGCCGGCTGCATGCAAGGCAAACGCCCTACCGCTGTA